CGATTTAACATTGGTGGGTGTAAAAATTAAACAAAAAAACAAAAAAACAAAAAAGAAACAAAGTGAAGCCCTCAATTTCAAAAAGGAATTAAAAACCCTAATTTCAGGAAAAAAAAGAAAATATACGCAAAAACCCTAAAAAGGACTTGAAAAGTGAAGAACTTATATCAAAAAGTTCTAGAAAAAATTTAAAACTCAAGTTTAGAGTGAAACACATGAAACTTTGATTGTGTATATAAATACCTTACTTTAAAATAAAAAACTTTGGTTGTGCATATAAATACCTTACTTTACAATAAAAAAAAATTACAAACCGTAAAAGACTACCAATTGGATGAGTCTAATCTTTCTTTCTTTATTTATATTTTAAATTGTAAGCTTTGTGGATGAAACTTTTCAAAGTGAATTCTCTAATTTAAAGAAAAAAAAAAATGATTATTCTTATGCTTTAACCTGTAAATGCAATAGTTAATAAAATGAATTAAATTAAAGGACATTGAAGGAAAGCGCAAATGAAAGAAATCAACTGCAAATGGAACAATAAATAATATGTGAGAAAACATGATTTATAGTCGTTTATTTGTTGTCTTCCTTGCTTTCTTGCGGTCATGTTTTAGGATCTTCTAACCATTTTCAATTTTGAAAGTCCAAAAGTTATCTAAAAATTAAACTTCAAGATTTTAAAATCTCAAAGTTCTAAAAAGAAAAAAAAAAAAGGGTTCCAACAATTTCATTTACGCAAAAAAAGTGTCCCAACAATTTTGGATTTTGAAAATCCATAATTTATTTGAAAATTACATTTTTGGATTTTAAAAAGTCAAAAATTGCAAAAACACAAATTAGTGTCCCAACATTTATATTTGCCCAAAAACCGTGTCCCAACAATTTTGGATTTTGAAAATCCAAACTTTATTTGAAAATTGAAACTTCAGATTTTAAAAATCTAAAAATTACATTTTAGTTTTCCATCAATTTCAGATTTTGAAAATCCAAAATTTATTTGAAAATCAAAATTTTAGATTTTCAAAATAAAAAAAATCAAATTTTAGCTTCCCTGAGTACTTTTGGAATTAAAAAATATGCAATTCATTTTTAAATTAAAATTGGGGATTTTAAGAATAAAAAATATTAATTTGCCCACCGGATCATGTATATTTTGTTAAATTCAGATATGAAAAACCAAAAATATTGTCAGGGAAAATTCTTTTTTAAAAACTAAAAATCCTCAACTACCCTTGAAGATCTAAAAATCCATAAATAAAACTGGGATTGATCCAAGCCATTTGGAAACGCCAAAAAAAAAAAAATAAGTATTGATTAACGTATTTTTTTTCTTCTAAATTTTACAATTAATGTGGGCTATCTCACACGGTTGGGAGAGGGAGATCTTATGTGGTAGTATTCTATTTAGAGGGAATGTGTAGAGAGATAGAGAAAAATCTTCTAAAGTAGCGTGAAACAGAGAACTAAAAAATCTTGTACAGTAGCGTGAAAGAGAGAACTAAAAAATCTTACACGGTATATGTGATAGAGATCTTACACCATATGGTCTTTTTGCATGAGGACAGGAAAAATGATATTTATTTTTAAGAGATATATGTATATTATTTTACGGATGCATCAATAGCTGTAGAGGTAAGGTGNACCTTCTAAATTTATCATAGGTATATATTTTGATGTAAAATGT